GCTGCAGGTGAGACAGGCTGCAGGTGAGACAGGCTGCAGGTGAGACAGGCTGCAGGTGAGACAGGCTGCAGGTGAGACTGTCTGCAGGTGAGACTGTCTGCAGGTGAGACTGGACGTTTTATTTTCACATGTTTTTATGTTTTCTTTGTTTAAACTTTGAGGTTTTTTTTGACGAGTTAGATTTTTTGAGGATAATATTCCTTCATTTTCCTCTTTCTTTTTAGCAGGAAAGTTTTGGTTCCTTTTTTCTCCTCAGCTAAGTTATTTTTTAAATTATTTTATTTTTTTTAGGACCAGGTGGAATAATTAATAAAACAAAGTTTGATACAGAATTGTGTCTTTGTGTTCTTAAATGTGTTGTGAACCTTCTGTGTTTCATTGGGCTGTAACAATCAAATATTTGGTTTAATAAAACTTTAGGATAAAATCTCATTGTTTCTTTTAATAAACATATATTTTGATATAAAAATAAAATCGGTATAATTCCCCCCTGGTGGCCAGCTGCAGAAAACTAGGTAATAATAAAATTATTATTAATAATAATAACTGCTTCAATATTTGACTATATTTTGCTTAATTTACTTATTTATCACTAATTTGCACCAAAAATTGGAAAAAAATAAGCTTTCAATTTATTTATTTATTATTTGTTAAATTTGTTCGATGTAATTTTATTTTTTTAGAGTTATAAGACCTTCTTCTGTTTCAGGCGGCTGTGGTGGAGTGGTTAGGGGAGTCCATCTGTAACCCGAAGGTTGCTGGTTCAATCCCTTGTTCCAGCTGTCTCAAACATCTCAAACATCTAACTTCATGAAAAACTGTTGAAAATTAAAGTCTTTGTGGTAAAAATAGTTCATGTCCTGCTTCCTCAACAGGTACATAAATTCACCTCCTTCACATGGACCATGGAGCCCCTGTTTATGGAGATCCTGGACCATGGAGACCCTCTATCATGGAAATTCTGGACCATGAACACCCTGTACCATAGAAATCAAGGATACCCTCAATTATGGAAATATTAGTGCGTGGAGATCCTAGACCATAAACCACCTGGACCAAGGAGACCCTGGACCATGGAGATCCTAGACCATTAACCACCTGGACCATCAACCACCTGGAGCATGGAGACCCTCAATCATGGAAATCCTGGACCATGGAGACCCTGGACCATGGAGATCCTAGACCATGAACCACCTGGACCATGCAGACCCTCAATCATGGAAATCCTAGACCATGGAGACCCTGGATCATGAACCACCTGGACCATGGAGACACTCAATCATGGAAATCCTGGACCATGGAGACCCTGGACCAGGGAGATCCTAGACCATGAACCACATGGACCATGGAGACTTCAATCATGAAAATCCTGCACCATGGAGACCCTTGACCATGAACCACCTGGACCATGGAGACACTCAATCATGGAAATCCTGGACCATGGAGACCCTGGACCAGGGAGATCCTAGACCATGAACCACCTGGACCATGGAGACCCTTGACCATGGACATCCTGCACCAAGGAGACCCTGTACCATGAAAATCCTGGACCATGGAGACCATGGACCAAAGAGATCCAGGACCATGGAAATCCTGGACCAAAGAAATCTTGGACCATGGAGACCCTCTATCATGGAAATCCTGGACTGTGGAGATCCTGAACCATGGAAATCCTGAAACATGGAGATCCTGGAGCATGGTGACACTGGACCATGGAGGCCCTGGACCAAGGAGATTCAGGACCATGGAGACACTGGATCATGGAAATCTTGCACCATGGAGACCCTGTAAAATGGAAATCCTGGACCATGGAGATCCTTTACCATTAAAATACTTGACCAAGGAGACCCTCAATTATGGAAATACTGGACCATGGAGACCCTTACAGTGGAGATCCTGGAGCATGGAGACCCTGTGCCATGGAAGTCCTAGACCATGGAGACCCTGTACCATTGACATTCTGAACCATAGAGGCCCTGTACCATAGACATCCTTGACCCTGGAGACCCTGTACCATGGAAATTCTGAATCATAGACATCCAAGACCATGGAGACATTGTACCAAAGAAATCCTGGACAATGGAGACCATGGAGATCATGTACCATGGACATACTGGACTGTGGAAATCCTGGATCAAGGAGTTCCAGGACCAAGGAGACACTGGACCATGAAAATCCTGGAACTTGGAGACCATCTATCATGGAAATTCTGGACCATGGAGACCCTGTACCATGAAGACCCAGAACCAAGAAGAACCAGGACCATGGAGACCCTGTACCAAAGAAATCCTGGACCATGGATATCATGCACCATTGAGAACCTAGACCATGGAGACCCTGAACTATGGAAATCCTGGACCATGGAAATCCTGAAACTTGGAAATCCTGGAGCATGGTGACACTGGACCATGGAGACACTAAACCAAAGAGATCCAGGACCATAGAGACACTGGACCATGAAAATCTTGTACCATGGAGACCATGTAACATGAAAATCCTGGACCATGGAGATCCTGGACCATGGAGACTCTCAATTATGGAAATCATGGACCATGGAGACCCTATATCATGGAGATCCTGGATCATGGGGACCCTGTATCATGGAAATCCCGAGTCAAGGAGATCCTAGAGCATGGAGACCCTGTATGATGGAGACCCTGTACCATGGAGATCCTGGACCATGGAAATCCAGCACCATGATGATACTGGAGACCCTCAATTATGGAAGTACTGGAGCACGGAGACCCTGGACTTTGGAGACCCTGTATCATAGAGACCCTGTATGATGGAGACTCTTTACCACAGAAATCCTGGACCATGGAGACCATGTACCATAGATATCTTGGACCATGGAGACCCTGTACCATGGAAATCCTGTACCATGGACATCCTGGACCATGGAGACCTTGTACCATAGAAAGCCTGGACAATGGAGACCATTGAGACCCTTTACCATGAAGACCCTGGACAAAGGAGAACCAGGACCATGGAGATCCTGTACCAAGGAGATTCTAGACCATTGACCACCTGGACTATGGAGGTCCTTGACCATAAAGATTCTGGACCGTGGACATTCTGGAAAATAAAGATTCTGATCCTTGGACATCCTGGACCATGGGCATCCTGGACCATGGATGCCATTGACCATAAAGATTCTGGACCATGGACATACTGGACAATGGAAATTCTGGACATTGGACATCCCGGACCATGGACATTCTGGACCTTGGAGATCGTGGACTATGGATATCCTGGACCAAGGAGATCCTGGGCCATGGACCATGGACATTTTGGACCTTGGACATCTTGTACCATGGACATCCTGGACCATGGAGATACTGGACCAAGGAGGTCCTGGACCATGGACCACGTAGAACCTGGACCATGGACTACAGGACCATGAAGATCCTGTACCAAGGAGATCATGGACAATGGAAACACTGGACTATGGAGACCTTGGAACTCAGAGATCCTGGACCTTGGAGATCTTGGACCATGGACCACCTGGACTATAATACAGTTCATCTAATCTGGACAGGTTAGTCCTACATCTGATCTAATCTGGACAGGTTAGTCCTAAAGTTGATCTAATCTGGACAAGTTAGCCCTACAGCTGATCTAATCTGGTCAGGTTAGACTCAGCTGAAACATTCAGAAACAAGAGATCTAAAGAATAAGATAAAGAAAATAATCTATATTTTATAAAAGTATTACCAAGCTTAATAAAAAACAAAGATTTGTTTTAAACTCGACATGAATGAAACAGATTAGTTTTAATCTGAAAGTAGTTTTATTTTGTAATTCCATATTTTTAATCCAGTTTACTGTCAGGCTGTAATCCCTGCTGCTGCCAGCAGGTGGCGCCATCAGTTCTGTTTTCACCAGGGGCAGGGGTAAAGTACCCTACAGAAACAGAGACCCCCACCCCCCCCCCCCCCCCCCCCCCCCCCAGCAAACAGTTCCTGCTGTAAAATGTAAAAGTCAAAGAGAAAATAAAACCTGGATTAAATCAAAGTAAACTTCTGGATTATTCTGAAATGAAACAACTGCAGAAATGATTTGAGTGAAGATTCAGATGAACTTCCTGACAGACAGGAAGGCTTTTAGTTTATTAAAATAAAGAAAAACACATTTTGTTTGACTTTAGTTTTGATTGACTGCTTTAATTTCCACCTAAAGGTCAAAGAAAAGAAAGAACCGTTTTAATCTGAGCTTAGTTAGGTTAATTTGTCCTTTCATCTTTGATTTGAGGTCAGAGTTTCTGCGACTCGGTGACCTTTCTTTCTCCTCTCAGAGTGTTTCTGCAGATCAGGAGTGAAGCCGGTTCTTGTGAACGCTGCGTGTGAACGAGGAGCTGCAGACAAAGACAGAGCTGCTTTGTTCTGCCATGATGGAGCAGCAGCAGAGGAGGAGGAGGAGGAGGAGGAGGAGAAGGAGGAGGAGGAGAAGGCCTCTGCAGATCCTGAAATGGCGGCCTGCTGAAGGGTCGACTGAAAACCCGGAGCGGATCCACAGCCAGAACTGGATCTGGACTCACACCTGGTGGAGTTTATATCCTGTTAAAGTTTGATTCTGAGCAGAAAAAGAGTCAAATTCAGAGTTTTTATGAGACGTAAACAGATTAAACTCAGATTAAATGAATTAAACTCAGATTAAATGAATTAAACTCAGATTAAACTCAGATTAAACAGACTGAACAGGAAGTTTAAATTCAACAAGTTTAATTCAAATTGTTTTGTTGCAAAAAGCTTTTATCATTAAGATTTATATTCAGTTTAAAACACAGAACTGACTTGAAACATGAAGTTTAAATTTATATTTTTACAGAAGTTAAATATTTTTAGCTTCTTTCTTTAATCTTTAATTTTCTTTATTTATCTCAGGAGAATAACAGTTATATAATTCATGAAATGTCCCTAACTGTTCTTATGATTATTATTTAAAACAACCAGAAAAACCCAAAGTTCTTCATGTGGGTCTGGTTCTGCTGATGTGGGTCAAGGATCCAGTTGTTCCTGAAAAACCCGAGTCCAGCGAGCAGAAAAACATCTGGACCTCCTTTCAGAACCAAAGCTTTGGTCTTTATGGATCAATTAGATTTAAAAAGTAAATAACAGCTTCTGATTGGTCTGAAGAATGATTGACATGTCTCTCTGACCAATCAGTGACACCTGTAGTAATGAGGCTGCTGCTCCGGTCTCTGAGGAGATGAATGGTCTGGGTTTTCCTTCCTGGACCTGTTGAAACAGAGAAGATCAGAGAACATCAGAGAAAATCAGATTAAGGTGAAAGAGATTAAACCAGACTAGGATGTAATGAAGCTCAGAACTGGTTCCTGTTTGAGGAACTGGAGGATCTGGTTCTGTAACAGGGTTAGGTTAGGGGGTTAGGGTTGGAGTTTAGTGTAAGAACTTCAGATTATCTGTAATCCTGTCACTGACACACGTGTCCTCAGGTTTGGTTGGAGGAAATGAAAGCTGTTTGAAGTTACAGATCCACTGCTGGACTTTAGATTCACATTGTTTCATTAAAATTAAATCAATCCAGGATTTAATCTGAAACCGTTCAGCTTTAATCCTCTTCAAAGTGTTCAGATTAAAACCTGCAGGGTTCAGTTCTTCACTTCAGTCTCAGCTTTAAAGGAGTTTATTTACAGAAAAAACAACAACAACAACAAAAACAAGTCTTTGTTGTTCGTCTCAGGAGAAGATCTTATCTCCACGTCTGGGAATTTCCCCACTGAGTCAACAGGAAGAACAGAACTGAACCAGAACCAGAACCAGAGCCAGAACCAGAACTGAACCAGAACCAGAGACAGAACTGAACCAGAACCAGAGACAGAGCCAGAACCAGAACTGAAACAGAACCAGAGACAGAGCCAGAACTGAACAAGAACCAGAACCAGAGACAGAACTGAAACAGAACCAGAGACAGAGCCAGAACTGAACAAGAACCAGAACCAGAGACAGAACT